CTGTGCTGAAAAATTCGAAGATGGTTTGGGAACCTGATATTTTATCTGAAACAACATAATCACAACCCAATTGGTTTTTCTTTTTTCATAACAATGACAGATATTATTCACTGAACTTGAAAATCTATATCAAGCACCAACTATACAAGAACATCTCAACCTTTGGTTCCAGATCTGTGACATTGTTGTCAACAAGAAGCTCATTCCAGTTAGAAGTCAAAGCATCATCATCAGTAATTAGCTGGTCTGCCCATTCCTGCCAATCACTTCGCTTAACAAATTCTTCAGCAGGCATAATCCCGCTACAACTACTGCTCTCTACTTGACTATTCTCGATATGGTTATTTACAGGAAAATCAAGGAAACCTGGCAGTGAATCAGTACACCAGGAACCACTGTTTTCTTTGGAATAAGGACAAGAGGATGTAGATTGAAGAAACCCTGAATGAGAAGAATGGGGTAATTGCAAAGACACAGAACTCGATGACTGAGAAATGAAAGGATTGTTTTTTGGCTGTTTTTCATGAGGTGAAGGAGCTGAGTAGTGAAGATCTGTTGAGAATCCTGATGATGATGATGAAAATATGTGACCAACTACTCCACTGTTGGAAGTTAAGTGACCTGCATGCACAACAGGCCTTGTCATAAGTTCTCTTTCCATGGACACCTGTTGGGAGTCAGGCAACTTGGGATATGTCTCTTCCATAGGGGTTGGAAGGACTGGTAAAGATGAAGACATTGCTGCAGATACCCCCAGGTGAGTAAACTGTTTTGCAGCTGATCTCTGAATGGACAAAGCAGGGCGTGCCTCCATCAATAGCCCTAAAACCAGAGAAGGAGCATCAGTAATTTAGTCATTAAATATTAGCTTAGCTTGTGATAGTGATGATAATTACCAACTTAAAACCTACTGAAAGCACACCTTTTGCTTGTTATTGATACCAAAATCACAGAAAGGGGTCATCAATTTTCACCTGTGAACAGAAGGATAAATCCATTAGTGCAAGACACCATTAAAACCAACCATCATAAAATGAAAGCATTTTTTGGCATGAAGATGATAAAAACTCTCCCAGAACCCCGAAAATGTTTTCAGAAAAAAAAAACCCACAAGAATGAGTTTACAATTGCATCACAGTGTCATCAGTACATTCCACTGCAAGGTAATAATGAACCCCTTAAAACTATGAGTGGAAGAACCCTAGTATCCGAAAAAAGAAAGCAGAACATATAAAATAAAAATCTTTCGGCATTGTCTTTTTTTATGAGGCAGTTGATCATTTAGTTGCAACGCTACATAACACAATCAAAAGTTCACATTCATCAGCACAAAAGCAATTATTTGTCTGACTTTGAAACACCCTAAAGAATAATCCAACTTATGTCAATCAAACAAAACAGGAAAAAAATTGCCAGAAAACAAAAATATCTACAAAAATACTTAAGTAACCGAATATAAGTTCACACTTGCTTTCACTCTCTCTTAAAACCCTACTTCTGCTATAAGCCATATTCTATAAAACAGCCTCCTCCACTGAACCCCAACAACACGATCACAATTCAAGTGATAACCAGCTCCAACAATTCAAATTTCATCAAAACATGCAATCCATCCAAGTTAAAAAAAAACAGCTACAAAGAAAAAGCATTGCACCCCACCATGCAAAACAATTGCTATATCCAAGCGAAGCATGTCCACCAAAATTGAAGAATAACAAGAAAACAAAATATCCACCAAAAAAATGAACCAATACAAACAACAAATACCAATTCAATCGAAACCCAACAATACCAATTTGGAAAAAACGCAAAATTCAATCAAAACTCCAAATGAGCATTCCACAACAAGCAATAAAGCCTGAAATTCCAACCCAAAAACCAAAAAATTGAAAAACTTTATCAAAAGGGTATATCGAGCTCGTACCTAAAACCTGATAGAGCGCCCCAAGTAGGAGAATTGGAGCCCGAAACACGCAGAATCGAATCAAAACCCAGATTTTGGCGCAGGAGGAGGGAGATACGTCTAAAATAACAGGCGGGTGTTTTTAAATTCCGTCACCGGCGTGCCCAGGAGCGAAAGGAAAGGATGTGAACGGTGACGAGTCACACGAGTGCGCTTTGTTTTTGTGTCCCCTTCGGCTTTGGGCCTCGTTTGGGGCTCTCTTTCTCTCTGCATTTTTAACGAACAGTGGATGTCTCCACGCGCCTCGGCAGTTCGTTTAAACGATTTCTCGGAAGCATATGCGTGGGGCCCACAGTGGTGGCGGACTGTGATTGGTAGGCAGGGTAAATATCCGGTAAGGTGCACGTGGGGCAAGCGTGACAACTGAAATGTTCTTTGGAGTTGCCCAAAAGCCCAACGTGGCCTAAGACAAGACATTTAACGTCCTTTGTTTTTGTTTTTCTTTTTTCTCTGTGTTTTCTGTTTTGTGGGCTTGTCTTGGGTCTTTCATTCTCGGACCCAAACTTGGTCCATATGGGATGTTGAGTGGACACGTGTAAGGAACCCATATGGATAATTAGAATGTTGGACAATCTGAGTCAACACTCGAAGAGTGAAAAATGCTCAAGGAAAATTCAATACTCAAAATGGGATTTCGTTTTCATGGCCTAACAAAAATGGGATTTGGTTTTTATTATGCAGATTTGCGCTGTTAATGACCTTCTTAACAGCTGTTTAGGTAAGATTCTGAGCATAAAAAGGTTGTAAATGATGAGCAATTATTTTTACGCGTGCTCGGGTTTTAATAACAATTACACGGTGGAGATCATTTTTATTTCTTATTAAGATAACGTAGTAAGTTAAATTTTTATAGATTTGACCAAGTTACTAATAATAAAATTAAAATGTTTTTTCTTGTTGTTTTTTCTCTCTCTGCATAATTGAAAACGTTTGCTTGAAGAAGTAGAACTGTGTATAAAATAACGTCGTGTACCTGAATTGAGCCATTTTGAGTCCAATTTCAACAAGTAATGCCATATGCTATAATTAGCCCAGAAGAAAGCTTCTTTTGTTTTGGGTTAAGAGATGGAGAGGTAAAGGGAGACAAAGTTCCAAAAGAAATCAACATCTAATGATGCCATTTCAATAATTCAATGGATTTAAAAGGGGGAAAAAACATCAAGTTGTCTCCTTGACTTTTGAGGTACTTTCCTTTGAACATGCAGGAACTTCAAATGCAGAAGCACTTAAAACCCACAACTTTGCAATACAACGCAGCAGAGCATATAGTTCATACCCACTACCACTAACATTGTACTGAGAAAGGACAAAAGTGCTTTTGTTTTGGCTAGTCAAATAAGTGCACAAAGAAGCACAGAGGAACAGCAATATTGTGCTTTATAATTTATAATTTATGGACTGAAATTTCATGCTAATTGTAGTACATGGAATTGGGTAATTTGAATGTCCTTTTGGCAATTGGAAGGCCCTCAAAGCTGCTCCATTGATCTCCAATGATGCCCCAGATGAGGTAGCCTTCATCAACCAATCTGTGCCTTGCCTTAGACTTGTATTTTTGCACTTCCATGAACTCATCTTCAAGACCCCTGTATTCAAAACGACTCCTGTTAAAGTTTTCAATTTCAGGCAAGCTTAATTATACAGAAATAATCAACAAAAAGATGGATTTGAAAGCCTTGGTGATAGCTCATTATACCTTAATATAAGACCAGTCCATCCATGGTATCCAACCTTAATGAGATTGTCCACACTTGAGGATCTAAGGTTTTCCCTTCTTGAGGAGATCAAAAATATTTTTAGTCCTCTGTTTTTTATCTCATGGAAGAGCTTCAGTGTGTGCTCAAGAGCTGGTGCCTTACTCTCTCTCATCCATGCCTCCAAAGAAGTTGCATTGATCTTCTCTCCCCTAGTTTGAGATTTCCAAATCCAAAAATACATTTTACTCAGGTAATTAAAAATTTACCCCAAGAAAAACACAGCAAAACTCACTTACCCAAAACCATGTGTCTTGAAGTAAGGAATGGTGGAGAGAAGTGTATCATCAACATCAAAAATCCATGCATCTTTGCCATCACCTTCCAATGTGCAGCAGCTGCTCAAGTAGAAAGTGACCTCCTCCAAGGCCTTCTCTGAATCAGCCTTGTACTGAGAGGATGTCATGTATTTCTGAATGTACTGGACACATTCTTGGGGCACCACATCAAAACCTCTAATGTTGTTCACTTCCACATTGATCCTCCAACTCTCACAGTACTTCTTCAAGCCATCTCCTACCCCATTGTTCTTGTTTTTCTGGTTTTTCAAAATGTTCCAGTCTGCTGCAACCACTAAGCCTGTGAAGAGGCTTGAAAAAATTAGAAATCCTGTGAGTTTTCCCATTGCAAATGTGATGACAAAAAAGAAACGGAGATGGAGAAAATTATGGGTGAGTTGAGTCTAGATTGGGGGTAAAGAGAAGACATAATTGAGGGTGGCATGGGCTGTGGGGCATGAATTGTCATTGCCTTTTACCGGAGATCACATGGTGTGCAATCAATTAAGTTTGATAGCTAGTAAATTGATTGTTGATTAATGAATGTGTAATGGACAACTGGACAAAAGGAAAATTTGGAGTAATGTTGGAGAGACAACTTTTGAACACCAATTATGATCCAACGTTTTATTTGTTTTCTTTCCGAACTCACTCGAAATTTTATTTATTTCCAACCAATAAAACATTGTCACGTTAATTAGTGTCCAAAAGTTAGTGTAGTAAGTTGATTTCTAGTATTTATGCTTTACAACTCATGAAAATTGTTCCCTAGTGATTTGTGCTCTTTGAGCATCATCACTTTAAAAACGCATCAAATGGACGCTTAATTAACATGGTCATGCATAGTTCTGGTTTGATCAATGAATCTTAGCCGTCTGATTAAATGTCTTGTGGGCTTTGCAAGGAGACTCATAGTCCATGAATCTCCAAAGTGATGTTATGAATCTCCAAAGTGAATTTATATAAACATAAAAGAGGAAAAGCATCCAATGGACCAAAAAGAAAAAGCATCCAAGGGCTAGCCTATTTGTCCTATTTTAAATTTGAGTTGCAAAATTAGGCATAACAAACGGATGGCAAAGCAAGAAGTTTTGATAGATAGAAGTTGAGCAAAACAAAACGTAGGTGTTTGATTGATAATGGTCGTTAGTTTTAGGTAATTTCGTGTATGTTTGTCATATCGACAGTCAAAAAAGATCAACTGGGTGTTGTAAATGTGAAGTTTGAATTCTCTGGCATTTTAAAAAGAGAAGAAACAAAAAAATTAGGTCAAGTTTGTTCATGGTTGCAATCTTGGTTGGAATGCAAAAGAAACATGGCAATGAATAGTGGACCCCAAAACCATCTTTGTAGAATTTACTTTATCTTTTTTACAAGCAAAGATAGAAAGATTGAAAGAAGAATAATACTTGCTCCACTCCACAAGAAAGAGGAAACAGAAGAAATAGCAATTGTTAAGATCCCTTTTTTCCAACTATTTCAAGGTTTGGTTTCCTTTACATTATCTTGCCACAACATAAGTCTCACTGCAGAGAAACGAAATAGGTTGAAAATGAAACAAAATTTGGTCATGCTATTATTAGCCAACAATTTTGAATGTAAATCTAAGTTGCATGACTCAAAGGAAAATATCTATACATCTCAAAGGAAAAATTGTCCATATATCCTTTGAGAGGACAAAGCATCACCGGAAACTATGAGGTGAAAGATGGTCATCGAAACCGTTGTCGAAGTTCAGAGAATAGCTTTGAAGATCATAGGTGTAATGAGTGTAGCTCTTTCGCCATCCCACAGCTTGTTTCCATTGCGACTTCAACTTCCAAATCAACTTCCTCAAAAGATAGGATACATGGCAACAACCAGTTGATGCTCTTCTTTCAATGCTAACAAGTGTGACCGCAGATCCGGTGCTTGCGATTCCCTTCACCAACTTCAAACACTGGATTTTCCAACAGCTAGAGACGCTAGAAACTTTCATTTTTAAGCTCCTTATCCACCTTGGTCTGTGTGTTGTTTTATAGCGAGCTCATATGAAATGAAGCAAAAAAGCACCAAGAATAATATACGGTTGGCAAGAAAACAAACAGATGAAGCTTTCAAGTATCAATTCCCACTAGCAGGCATCATCAACGAGATGTCACAATCCCATTGGTGGAAGTTGATAAACATTATAATCAAATAGTCTATTCAACTTTTCTTTAAAACAATTCCCAGGTCCCATAGGTCCCAGTTTGGAGAAAAGATTGACGACTTGCCTCTAGTGATGTAATGTCAGTCAAGTGATACAAAACTTTTTGAATGGATCGTCTCTGAAAAGTTGCTTGTGCTCATCTGTTGTATTTGGCTTCTGTTTCAATTAAAGGCTCTTGATAGTGAACTTTCCAGGAAGCATATAAGTGGGATGAGGTCGACTCTTACATCAAAAGTTCCCACCGGCCATACCTACATGAGCCATATAGTAAACAGATTAATCAAAAAAATTGTGAACTTGCCCCTTGATGACAAGGTTGATCACACTTTACACAGAAAAGGCCCACAAAGATCATGACAAATTGTGTCGTGTATATTTTTTATACTTATATTATAAAAGGAATTAATCAAAACTGTGCTAACAAAGCATATATCTAAGCAAAATATAGCAAACCCTACTGCATTTTTAGAATAGCTACCTAGTAAACCATGAAAACCACAAAATCTTGAGAGAGGAAAAAGTTTTGTTTACCCTTTGGAAAAAGAAAAAGAAAACCCTGGATTGATATCAAGAGCTCATCAACATAAAACAACCATATTTTTAATAAATTTTTGTGAACTTTATGTAGCCTTTTCATCACATGGTTGATTATACTGCACATAGAAAGGGCCACAAAGATCATGAGAAATTGTGTCATGTAGATCTTTGATACTGATATGGATATAAAGTGAATTAATAAAGATTTTGCTACCAAAGCAGGTCTCCATTCAATGGACCAAGCAAGGTGTTGATTTCTCTTTTTCCAATCAAGGTCTTCTAACCAATATAACTGAAGAATAATTATGACTACGAGAATATTTCACAGAAAAACACCACTGCATTTAGAGTAGCCACCTAGCGAACCAGGAGGAGGAAAAAATTTGATGTTTGATCCATAAACTTACAGTTTATAATTGATTTTCACCCTTTGGTAAAGGAAAAAAATCTTGAAATGATATCAAAAGTTGATCAACATAAAACAAACATTTTTATAAATAAAGCTAACTTTAGTGAGTTGTACCATATATCTTACAAAATCGTGACCCACACAACTATTCAGTCACAAGTTTCCAAAACCATAATAGTTTCCTTCCAACTCTAAACTATTTATTAAATTTCATCCTATGTATTTATTACTATAAAACTTAACCCTGCATAGAGTTGCTTTACCTAACATATAAAAAAAATGGGATAAATGACTAATGTTATTAGTATTAATTCAGCTGCATGGAGGATAAACATTCTTACAGACGACTGGCCTGATACTTTCAAGCACCATCGCAACTTCAGACAAACAGGTGGGAGCCACAAACATGAAAAATGTAAAGGCACCAAATTCTCTCAGCAAGCTCACCTGGAAAAAAGTTCATATATTAATTCTAGCATTTCCTCTATTTCATTTCTAAAACAGTTGGGGGACAGGGAAGGTTGACTGCAGAACTAATTGAATATAAATACTCACAGTCATTATGCTCCTTCAAATCATGAGCACAGCCACAGCATCTACAAAACAAAATAAATGTGAATTGCTGCAACAATCATACATCTTGACAAAGAGTATCATTAGGGTTACAATACAAAACCTCATTGTTGAAAACTCCCCTCTAAACTGAATCTGAATTTCGCTCAAATATAGTCTAAACAAGGGTGACCTGCAACACCAATTAGCAAAGGGGGAAAGAAAATCATTCAAAACCTATGATTCAGTCAGTTCCTGTGCAAATAAGATGATTGATTCAAATCAAAGTAAAAAAGACGTCCAAACATTGCATAGAATGGTATAGGAATACCGGGATGGAATTGCAACAGCTACAAGGGATGGGGATATTTTCCACAACTGATGCAGCTGACTTCCCAGAAGTCCGCTCAAATATTCAAGAATGTTACTTTCCTAGTTCCACCACAAAAGCCAACCATGATTACTAATACAAAAAGATAAAGCATGAACAAGCAAAGAAGCATGCATGTCTTCTTATCAGCATCAATTTTGAACCTTTGAACTCACTGCTTCCTGTTTAGATAAAGGAGCTGTAGATCTTCCATAAAGTAAGTTGCACACTTCATGATATTGCTCCGAAATATTTTTGCAATCATAACAAACTGACACCATATATTCGATTAGAGAAGTCCATCTGCTTGCAATGCACCCTACTAACAAGAGCTCCTGTTTCAAAAGGGAAAAAGGGGAACTTGAGCACAATTTCTTCATTCAACAGTACAATTTATTTCCTAAAGAATGCAAGGGTACAGAGATGTGTAGTTAGCCACGCGACCATTGAAATACAAAATATTTATTGCTGAAGAGAATCAATCCTTCAGATTACAAAAGTAAAAAAATTCACAATTCATTCTAATTTATTTATTGAACTGAACTGACTTACAATTGTGCCTGAAAAACAAAAACAAAAAAAAACTGACTTACAATTGTTCAGAAAATATCATGCTGGCACCGGAGACCAATTGAATAGTTCTCTTATCAAGAAAATAGGAGATATTCTTTGATTTCCAGCGATTCCATGTCAGAGAACCAACCAACCACTCTACAATGCTGAATAAGGAACCACAAGATATTCAGTTCAGGTCATAGTAGTGAGATCCTGAAAACATACAACAGTAAAATTTTGATTTTTCATGTAAACTCCTCTAAGTATCTACAAGAACACTCATGACTCAGCTAAATGCATCTCAGAAAAGGAGTTTATTATGAGACATACTATCTTCTATCACAAAGAGACTAGCCACTCACTCCTTAAGCCAGACACATACAGTCTTAATACAACTCCTCAGACTAATGCTTGCACATAGAACATAATCCACTTAACTTCATTCACACACATTATTTACTCTTCTATTACACACACGCTTTTGCACACACATTTCCCACTTACTCTGGAGCATTTTCACGCTTTAATTGTTCTTTTAACAAATTATCATCAAACTCGCTCCAACTGCTATGTCTGATACTATGAGAAAGAACATCTAAGCCTGCCTCAACCGCTGACATTAAAGAAACTTTAGACCACCGCTTCAAGAGCTCTTGCACCACATAATTGGTGAAACCATCACCAGCGCAATTTTCAATCTTTGTAGCTGATGCAATGCTTCGGTGAAGTGATGTATTCTGCAACTTCAACTTGTTGAAGTATGCATTCAGAAAATCATGCTCAGTTTCTGATAGCTCTTCAAGATCCATCTCTACAGTTGCCATCAGCAAAGCTCTGAGATGTGCATCCCTCAACGGTAAGGTATGAATGAGATGGTCTAATACAAAGTGCCGTGCAGTAGTAAGATTTGCAGATGAAAGATGTGCAAGCCCCTGCTTTATCAAATACAAGCATACAACTAAGCTAAGCAGGCTACACTTTAAACTTTGTCATAAGCAAAAACTAGTTAATTCAACAAATTTAAGGAGCCAAACCAATAAAATCTACAAAACTATAACCTTAGGAAGAGAAGCAGCAGATGTCATTTCAGATAGAGCTGCATCAAGCTCCTCCATAGAGCCCCCATAATCATCTGAGCAGCCAAAACTTCCAAGAACCTAACAACACTAAAAGAAAAATCTCAACTTACTGAACCCAACTGAAAGAGACATGAAATTCAGAGATACCCTTTCCACTCAAACCAAATATGATTGGGGAAAAGCAGTGAAAGCTGACCTTCTCAAAGAAGAGGCCCCATTGGAAGGCTTTTTTTATGTTGTGGGAGTCCCAGTGGGCAAGGCGACCAGAGGATTGATACCCAGAAAGCAGAAGCAGTATATCGACAAACCCTTTGATCAGATTCAAGAGTTGCTCCAAGGAGATGTGTGGGTGGTTCCAGCCCATCGTCTTCTTCACTAAGCCACTGCCCAAGCTTACGATAGGAAATGTGAAATGGAAAGGACCTCAAGCGGCGGCGTCTCTTCGGCTTTCCGGTTTTCCCGCCCTCCCCAACCTTTTTCTTTTCATTGGGAGGCTAAAATCAATAATTTTTGCTTTGTATTTTAAATATTTTTGCTTTTTCCTTCCATTGGCCGCCACGGCTTTTGCTACCCCTCGATGGCGCCAATCAGTGCTTACGACGCCGTTTCAATACAGAAGACACGGACATTGCATTAGCATTGATTTTCATACGACGTGTCGTCTGAAGGGTGAATTCCCAACCACACAGGACGACACATTCATCGTCAGTCAGCAGCTGAACTGAAAAAAAAAAACCCCAGCATTTTGAGATGTCGTGCACTTCCCTGCTCAGCCCTCCCAACCTCCCAACTCCACCGCCGCTGAAGGAACCCAGCACCGCCAAATGGGCTAAACCCAAACCCATCACCTGCCACGTCAGCACTAAAATGTCCAGCAACCAACCGCCTGACCCAACTTCCCTCCTCTCCTCCGCCGCCAAGCTCTTGTGGGGCCCCTCCCTCCCTCCCGGCCTCCTCATCTCCACCGTCCGCACAGCCTGGAATTCCACGTGGCGCATCATGATGTCCCAGCTCGCCCCCTCCGACCCCACCCTCGCCTACACCAGACCCCCCTCCAAATTCCGCGCCACACCCAATCAAATCCCCCGCCAAGCCCAAACCTCCCTCCACCTCTACGTGGGCCTCCCGTGTCCCTGGGCCCACCGCACCCTCATAGTCCGGGCACTCAAGGGCCTCAACGACGCCGTCCCAGTCTCAATCGCAGCCCCGGGCCAGGACGGCTCGTGGCAATTCAGCAGCACCCTTATCCCCGATCCGAATACCCTCGTCCCCGGCCCGGATAACGCAAACGGGTTTAAAACCCTGAAAGAGGTTTATAAATCGAGAGCAGGAGGGTACGATGGGCGGTCCACGGTCCCAATGCTTTGGGATGTGAAGAAGAGAGAGGTGGTCTGCAATGAGAGCTACGATATAATCCAATTGTTCAACTCGGGACTCAATGAGTTGGCTCGGAAGCCGGGTTTGGATCTCTCGCCGCCTCCATTAAAGCAAAAGATTGAGACTTGGAATAGCATAATCTACCCAAATGTCAATAATGGGGTTTATAGGTAATTAATTAGTAATTAATTTATTATTAATGATTTTAATCAAGAACTGTATATTTACTGGGATTTTCCATTTTGCAGATGCGGGTTTGCTCAGTCTCAACAAGCATATGATACGGCGGTGAATGAGTTGTTTGATGCGTTGGACATGGTGGAAGATCATTTGGGCAGCTCAAGATTTTTGTGTGGAGATGATCTGACGCTTGCAGATGTTTGTTTGTTCACAACTTTGATTCGGTTTGATCTTGTGTACAATGTGCTGTTCAAATGCACCAAGAAGAAGCTGATTGAATATCCTAACCTTCATGCTTTCATGCGTGACATTTACCAGGTACTGCCAATGCCATGGCTTCTTTTCACATAAGCTAGTTAGTGATTTTCTTTTACCAAGTTCTGATGAGACAGCTTGGGTGTTTGTGCAGATTCCGGAGGTTGCTGAAACTTGCAATTTTACTTCAATCATGGAGGGCTACTACAAGACCCTTTTTCCGCTCAACCCAGGAGGCATTCAACCCGTCATGCCCTCTGGGTCTGAGCATGAAATCCTCTGCAGACCTCACAACAGGGATTCACTGTCAGTTAAAGATAAAAGTGCGGCAGCGCTTTACATTTCTTGAGCGATACGGCAGCTCAGTTAAGAACTTCAGATATGCAATGGCATTGAGTTTCTTCATCTGCCTTCACACTCAAGGCCTTTTTCCTTATATTTGTACACTTAGGTGCACCCAAATATGATAATACAAGTAGAATACACATTTCTGGCTACATATTCTATTTATAAAACACACAATATCCAGCCTTACATTGCAGCAACCATATATAGAACTTTTGAGTATTTTTAGCAGTCTAGCCTCTGCCAACATCGAAAGCTGCGGTGTCTGGCTTTTAAATTATCATCGATAGCATTAGACACCAAATTGGCTATACATGTATAAAACCCTGTACAAAATCATCCAACAAGATCTATCCTCAGTTTTACACCTATCCTTGATATTGAACCAAAAGAGAAGGTAGCCACTACCCACTATCCATGAACTGACCCTCCGAAGTTCATGCTGTAATTGATGCAGATCTAGATCCTGTTGGATGCAGACATCAAAATGAATGTTGGCATCAGGAGCAACATGTAGTTCGCATTAAAAAATGATTGTCACAGACAAAGGATGTGCAAATTTGGCGTCTTAGGGGACAGAAATGGAAAATACACTTACTATTTGAACGTTTCATGTTCCTGCAAAATTTACTACCACATCGGCACTGGAACACCTTAACAGGATGATCATGGTCGTCAAAGTCAATGCCATAATCCTGCAAACAGATCCCATATTGCACGGCGTAAGAACAGCCACATTATCCATAAAGTCATTTATACATTAACTTATTCAATATCTATATCCAGAACCCTGTCATCGAAATTATACAATAATACCAAGTAATGCAGTCCAAAATGGAAATTGCTGTACCATATTGTGCTTGAACATTTCTAAAGGATGAAGCTAAATGTTGTCTTCAGGATAAAGGCACACCAGCATACCATATTGAGATAAATCGTTCTGGTCAAGGCCTCAAACATCACATACAATTATAATCTACAAATCCTTCCATGTGGCTGTAGGTTCAAAGTAGGTACTCAAGCATCACGTATATTTAACCAAACAATATCAATCAACCTGTCCTCTTTATGCATTCTTATTTCAATAAGCATGAAGCCTTTCACAGAAAATAGATAAACAGGTTTACCAAACGTCAATTTACCATAGTTCGATGAAGCAGAAATGACTCAATTGAACTAGAAAATAGTAATAAAGATCACTTGTAAATATGGAATTATATGTACATATTGCCATAACCTATCTAGCATAGTAAAATCAGAAATAATTTATAGAATTCGCCAGTCTGGTGAAATTCAAAGCTAAAAAGCATCTAACTAAAGTGGAATTAGTGGACAGTGGATTCTGTGTTGGCAAAAGAGATCGTAGTAAGAGTTGGCTGAATAAGTACAAGACTAAAAATAGAAATAAATTTCATATGCATAAGAATTTCAGCATTTTAACAATCCACATGAAGAAAAAAAAAAGTTCCATTATGATACATTCAAGTTTTCAGAATGCTGATATTAAAATATCAACATTTCTCCTCATATGGGAGCAGCTATGCTTATTCCATTAAAAACTAATTCTGAAAGGACAAAACAATTAATGCCATATGCATACCACCAACAAATACAATCTAATAAGATAAAATATACTCACCCAATTAAGCTCTTCCAAAGCATCCACTTTTCTTGTTGTGAAGAAAGCAATCTGCACAATAGAACATATAAATGTCTTCAATCACCAACAGAGTTGATAAACTATAACTATGCAAATGAAGGATCAAAGGCTCCATAACTTCACATACATGATAGTAGCAATGATCCGGGGTCTCCACTTCAACTGGGATTTCAACCAAGTTTGCATCCAAACATCTAGTAAGATACGAAACAATATATCAGATATTCTGAAGCCTAACTCAATTTAACACAGTCAGACGTTTCTCCACACGATAGAATGTCATAGAATGAAGCCAACATGAATCAGCTCCTTCTGCTAGCAACCCTAGCTATGACGGGCAACAAGTTCAGGGAACAAATTCTACAGTTCAAGCTCTATTTTAAAGCAAGTTGCCACTTTCCCTAGACACTCAGGCACAAGACCAGTAAACTTTCTTAAGGCGTGCAAGCTTCCCAGCAAGAGCCTAATGGCTCTGCTGCTGATACAATGCTAAAGCTCCTGGTGCATAAATTGCAGCTTCTCTCATTTCTACTCTGTTAACAAAAGAGTAACATGAAACTGTATTTTAATGCAACAAACTCTCAACATGCATTGCCTACTGCTAATTCCCTTTTAACTTGGTAAGTTTCCTTTTTGGCATCCTCAGCAAGAGTCAGGTTACTACAATTTGCAACTACATTCTACCATCCTCAGTTATTTTCCTACTATACTATTTCTGATCCTAAGTATAAAAATTCCATGCATATGCGGAAACCAGAAACTTATAATTCCCCAAAATTTACAACTTCCGTTTTTGCATATGCAAAATATATCCCATAGATATAAATATCTTAGTGAAAGAAGATTAACACATCATATGAACTGACTATTAAGGACATGATTAACCGAAAGTTAATTTGTCAAGCAAACAAAAAGTTGGCTGTGGGCTAGAGGAAGTGAACTTCAAAAGTTTACCTGTGATTAATAAACCTAGCAACATTTCCATATTTTGTTGCATCCAAACAGAGAGCTTCTTCATTCCTCAAATCCGCTTTCAAACCCCAATTTGCATCCAGGAGCACTGGATAGGGACGTTTCCCACTTCTGGCGCTTTGAATGTTCCTCTCCTGTAACTCTTTGCTGGTTAGCACTTCTCCAACATACTCACACACAAAGGCACCTTTTGGCAGGTCCTCTAAGGTTCGTAGACCCCAACCTTTTCCGTCAGAAGTAAAAAATACCTGGAATACACAGTGCAAATTCAACAGAGAGGCTGTGAGAACAGACAAAAAGTACTATAGAAGAAAACTTTATTGCTTACATTATAACGTCAGACAATATAACTATTAAAATTTATGCACAAGATTTACATCAACAAGAAAATAAATACACCACTCCGTCAAATAATGACAAACTAAGAACATTTTCACATAAATTCCAACCTGCAACTTGCAATTTAAGCCTCTCTGGACCACTCGATTGCCACATTGTATGACGCAGCCGCATTTGCTCCAGCATTCTTTGATAAACTTTCTCCTTGAGTGGCCTTTGCATGGTTCTAAACAATCATCATT